CGTTTCGGCTCGTCAGAAAGAACTCTTCTATATGCTTCTGAGAGATTAGTAAAAGCTTACCGGACACCTAGTATGACAAAGTTTGCTTATTAACCACATGGTGACTGGTGGTAACAACACATCATGTACCTATTTATTAATTTTGTAATAAATTTTATGAAATCATATACCTTAGTACCATTAGATTCGCGGAAATACTGTTGATACTTCCAATTCTAAGCTAGAACTTCCTCCAGTAATCAAAGTCACCTTCCTGGTAACTAAACACGTTACACAGCGGTATATATGGTGTAAATACGTTACAAAATAACACTATTCTTTTGAAATTGGGTTATTTTTAGCAAAATGTACAACTGGTTTATTATTTTTTAGATGAAAATATGTTATTAATATGTATTTGTTACTGTGTTAGATATATTCAAATATTTATTTATTAAATAATGTTCTCTTTCCATGTCTAACAAATATGTGGAATATTTTCAAACAGTAGTAATTAATTTGCCGCAAATTTATTTCTTAACTTTACTGTAGTTTTTGCTTTAAATTTAAATATAATGGCTTATAATTGAATTAAATTGTTATTAACAGCTGAAACCAGTCACGTTGCGTTAGTTAATATTGACAACAAGAAAAAAAGAAAATTTAGAAATACTGACCAGCCTTTGTTTTATACTAATTTTATAATATAAATAGTAATTTTGTGTTACCAAAATTTGGACAACAATTTCGTAACGAGATACAATTATATAATTTGCGTAGATTTAAGGTTTAGTTTGAGTGAATGTTAGTGGACACTTTTTACTACTGTGGTAAATGTTAGCTGATTTTACTTCCCTGTGCAAATTACGAATTAAATGTGTCATTAAACAACCCTTTGTAACTTTTTTACACTAATGCAAACAATTAAAGGGTCAAAAAATTTCCGAAATTTTTCTGTGATTTTTGACAGACTGTATTTAGGTGAAAAATGGTCGTATTGGGAATTTAAAAAAAAGCATTTTGAAGCTCTAAGATTCTAGTTTTTAGATCTTTCGGTCGAAATTTTTTTAGGAGCTACTGTTATGCTATTCTAAGAAATAGCGTGGCAAAAAAATTTTGCAAATTTTCTATTTTTTTCATAAATTTAAACGTTATTCGTGGTAAAAATGTGAGAACCTCAAAAATTTTTTCCCTATTTTAATCATGATTATGAAGTGTTTAAGCTAAAAAAACGTGACCCTTTAATTTTTTCAAAAGTTTAAATTTTCGAAACTAAGAAACAGTTCGCTGGATCGAGATGAACCTTCACAGGGTTCTTCTGGGTATATCGAACTGTAAGTCATGCTTAACATTAGTCATTTCGGGAATATTTCTAATTTAGCCGTCAATTTTCTAAAAAACCATAAATTATCTTTTTTCCCCGTTTTTTAAAATTCGTGTAAAGGATGAAAAAAAAAATTTGTTCCGAAATGTTGCGGCAGCATGTTACAGCATATTTAATTATTTATTCCAGTTTTCGAAACTGTCCTTCAATTCTCTGTACGACCAGTTGTCGCCGAAATATCGATGATTGAAGACAAAATGATACTTTTCCATTAGAAGTCCGATATTTCGATGAAAAATGGTCGTATCGAAATTTAAAAGAAAAGGAAATTGTAGCTGAATAAACAAGCTATCTGGTCCATGCAATGGATAAGCTGGANAAAGCAATAAAAGAAATGCCCCTCCCACAAAATAAAAATGATGTTCAAAGGTTTTTAGGAATGATCACGTATGTTGGACAATTTATACCAAATTTATCAAATTTAACTTCAATTTTGAGAGATATAAAAAAAAGATGTAATTTTTCAATGGTCTGACCAGCATAGTAAAACTTTCAATGAACTAAAAACTATGTTAATGCAAGCACCAGTACTACAATATTAGAATGTAAACAAACAAACAATTATATCAGTAGATGCTCCAAAAGATGGTGTGGGTGCATGTCTTTTACAAAATTCATTACCTTATGCTTATGCTTCAAAAGCACTTACAGAAACTCAAAAAAGATGGGCACAAATTGAAAAAGAGTTATAAGCCATTTTATTTGGATGTGATAGATTTTATGAATATATTTATGGAAAAAAATTTACAGTAGAGACTGACCATAAACCTTTATTAGGTATTTTTATAAAACCTCTTACATCTTGTCCTGCTAGACTTCAAAGAATGTTAATTCAATTAAGTAAATATGATTTTGAAATTGTTTACAAACCAGGAAAAGAATTATATCTTGCAGATACTTTGTCCAGAGCTTTTTTACANTCTTACTAACACCAAGTACTACAGCGCACATAAATAAAATTTAAGAATTAATTTTTCGTGGTAAAATGCCGATGAGCAAGCGCCATTTCTTAACGCCAGTAAGAAATTATGTAACGGCGGTGCAACGAACTTCTTCCTAAAGTAAATAGTAGCCTTGACTATAAAAGTATTATTTCGTGTGTTTTTCGTAGCACTTAAAGGGACGGAGTTATGGCCTTTTAAATTTTTTTAATGTTCACTGTGGCGGACTTGCCTACCATTCCATTTTCGGACAATGCGTTTCTTCGCAACTTTGGTAATTATTTTTTATATATAGTCAAGGACAGTAGTAACATATTGTACTTCCAGTTGCTTCAGTTAGTTGAGAACGGTACAAGATAAAATAAGGTATAAGCAGGGTATAACTAAAATACTTCCTACTACCAAATTTCAATGGCGGATTCTATGACACAAATTAAGAAATATAAATGTATACACATTTATGTCGAAATATAGGAAGTTCAAAATTAATGTATATGCAGCTTATTTCAAGCAAGTTGTGTAAATAATATTTAATTTCGTTGATAAATAATGTGATTAAGTACTAGATACCAGAAACGTCAGGGGGGCGCAATGTGGCATAGGTACAGGATTGGCTGCTAGCCGGGTTCACTTGTATGTAATTTTATTCAAACAAAAAGTGATACAACCATTGACTTCTTATAACTATAGGTACTCTTTACATTATAGGAATATACATGGTGGAGACTTTCACTAGAATAAATTCGCTACCGGGGAGCTGAATAATTTTTCGAAAAGTTCAAGGAGGGCGGAAACCACCCCCAACTTTTTTTGCAACAATGCAATAATATGGCGTATTACCCCTCATTGGAAACGTGACAGAAAGACGAATCCAGCGTATTGATCACGTTTATTATTTTTGAAGAGGTAATATGAAAGTAATAGGTTACTGAAACATCGATAAAATAATAAGAGCTTGTCCGTGTGAAATGCCACATAGTTTACTTCTGGATTGTCTCCTTCTCAGGAAAAACATATTGGTAGTCTAACTGACCTTCCTCAGCTACTCAAATAGTTCCATAGCTCAAGATTGTATAAATTTTATCTCTTCTTGAGCCATATATTTAGGCCTACAAGTAACACAGTACCTAATTAAAATACATAATTTCTAAATGCTTCGCATAAGAACGGCAAAGGGAAACAAGTATAATTATTTAAAAGAAATATTCTAGGAAATACGCAAAATATTGTATAAGTATCGCGTAGTCAGTTGAAATATCTTACCTCTTATAAATAGGAAGATAAGTAATGTACATATTGTGTAATTAGTTGTTAGTGTTTGTAAACAACGTTGTAAAAAAATTATCGTTACGGCAACTAATAAAACGAGTTATAACTATTTATTATTTGGAGTAATAAAGGTTAACTACTATAATTTTTGATAACAATAAAGTATTTACGAAGATGATGAGAGTTTTTTTATTTTCAAATCGTGACAGAGAGAAATTTAGTATCAACAAGATAAGTGTTTGATGTAATGGACATCCAAACATGCCATCCAAACATTAGATATATAATCTTCCACAGCAGTAAATAAAACATGTTTCTTGGCTTAATTTAGACATATCATGATGAAGTCTATTTAATTAATACAAAAATGTTATTTTAAAATACAACTTTAATTAACAATAATCAAAATTGTATACCACATCCCCTCAACTCCTGATCTTCCCCGCGTACTCGCGATCTGCCGTTTTTGAGCACGTTTGGAGGAAATTTTCACCTATTTCACATCATTTTATCGGAAAATTAGAACATACGTTTTGAAAAATTAAAATCGGACCACCCCCAACACATCCAGAAGTTTTGCAAATTACTGCACCAATAAATTCAAATTGCAATTGTGGCAATACTAATGGTCTGACAGTGCCTGCTTTGTGCACATATAAAGTACATATAATTATTCACTACTTTTGTGCATAGGGTCAGCTCTACAACTTAAAAAATGGAGTAATGAATTAAAAAAAAACCGCTAAATTTTCCGATTTTTCCGGGGTTTCTTCGTTTCTAATTATCCGATCGACCTCTCGTTTTATTCGTGTAGCATTCAAATTGCTTCCTTAGTTTAGGTTTTATATAAGCAAAAAACTTTAAAAAATGCGTTTTTGCATAAAAATGTTTATATAGAATTAATAGTATATTGGAGTAGGAAATATATAAGCATATATCTACAGACTGTCTTTTATATGATGGAACAGTCCGTTTGCTATTATTTTTGTCACAAACAAAACCTCTATTGATTGGCCTAAAGGGGAATTTTCAAATTGCACGTGTTGTATCTTGTTTATTAGTTGATTCTTTTTTTTTGGTTATTGGTAGCACTGTCAGTGACGTACCTGTCAAAATGATAAGCGTTCAAAATATTAAAAAAGGCAATTGGAGACGGTACTAAATATATCACAGCCATGAGTTTATCAATAGTTCAAATGTTTTCAGGAAGGCCAAAAAGACGAGGCGAGATCTGATCAAATCCTTCTAACCGTTTTCTTCGACTCCCATGGAATTACGGATTTTCACTACACTACAGTTAATAAGGAGGACAGCTCATGGATTTTGCACCGAACTAAAAAAAGAATACTCTAAGGACAAGGTTTTTTTATCTAATCTCGTAATAAAAAATGTTTCGAATGAAGGTACACTTAAATATAAAAAGAACGTAAGAGATAAGCGGTTTATAAAATATGTAAGATAAATACAGATAGTATATAAAAATCTTCGTTACGATTAACAAGTCATTATTTTTTAATTTTACAAAAATTTCCTCTTTATTCAAATATTTTCCCCACAGAACTCCCAATAAAAAATAGTTATGCTTTACGGTTTACTTTGGCATTGTTTCCCTTTCCGGAACAATGTACTCATAGGCCGGTTGACTTCCTTCGATCATCCAAGTAGTTCCATTTGGACAGGAACGAACAAGTTTTACAACTTCCTCAGCTACATATTCCGGCCTGAAAAAAGATTAAGCGTTAGAATAGACAGATACAAATACGAATTCAAGCTTTATGACAAGTAATCTTGGTCGTGGTTTACTCCAATTTGTACTGCAACTCCCCCCTCCCCTCCGTTCGCGCTTTGATATTTATATTATAATTACACAAAAAGTGTGCCGACTTAAGTCCAAAATATGTTCTAAATTTCAAATAAATAAATATCTCTACAATCACCTGAGTTATCAATAAAAATAATTTTTTAATTTTTAATTTTTGACACTGTATTTTGAAAATGGGGCTCCCAAATGAAAAGTGGCATAAGAAAAGGAAAAGTCGCATTATTATAGTCTAAAGAATATGTCGTTAACTACTTGACCTATTAATTTGTAACACCCTGTCCCTGTATACACTGCGACACAATACTTAGATGTTTTCCCGGGCTGGAAGAAAAAATGTGGAGCCAGCCGTTATAGCCTAAAAATATGATTGAAATAAAACACAGGCGAATTTTTATCGGGATCGATTAATATAAAATGCATGTCGCATTTTGGTCGGTTTTACATATATTGCTAAATGTCTGCCCAATTTGCTTTATTTGATTGGTTGTCCCATTAACTTTGTAAAAAATATAGCATAAGCATAAGAATCGTCATTTTATGTAAATCCATAAATATCTCCTAAATAGCGCACTGCACGAAAAAATCAATAGTGACCTTTTTTGTGGAGAATTTTAGGCTCTACAACTTTAATTCTTTGTAGGTTTGTGAAATTCTCAATACTTCAAGTTATTCACGAAACACATTTTTTTGCAGTTTACCGGCCTTTTCCCGAATTTTCCCGGTACGCTCCCGTGCAGAACATTTTTTTTCCTTATTTACTAGAAATATATTAATCACGTACAAGAAATTGTCCACTTCAGAATTACTGCCATCTCAAAACCTCTAGCAACTGGACTCGCGCCATTATTCCATGGCTAGAAATTGGCCTCAATGATTTGGGATCGAGGGGGATTATCCCTCTTTATCCTGCCTCATCTCGTGTAGGCCTGGACAGCCTTCGTAGGTGGGCCCCATCCGTCGTCTACCCCGACCGCAAATGCGGCCGGTGTAGGCGCTTTGTGGGACCTCCTTTTGTCCTGGCTAGGCCCTGCCGGCTAGGGCCCTTTCTTCTGGCGCTCTTCTTGCTTCGCCGGCTCGTCTGTGTAAACCCCGGGGGTAGTGTCATGTTTATGTGTGGTATGGTTGGGTAGGGTAGTGCGGTATGTGTGTGTGTGTGTCGTCTTCGTTTCTTGATCCTGGCTGTCTCTGAAACAGAAAAGGTTAGCGGGCAGGGGGGGGGGGGTCGTTGGGGTGGTCACCCAGGGTAAAAAAGTTGGTGTCTAGGTCTTTTGTGTAGCAACTGGACTAATAGTTATGGGTCGAGGTTTCAAATTCTGATTGAGGCTAGAAACACGAGCAACAACTATGGAATTTAAAACACACGCGTTAGCATCTACGCGGCATAGTTGTACGACGATGTGCACGCATAGCTCGTTATCTCTAGCTGAATTTGAAGCCTCGACTGTCCACTATGGCACTATGGTGTCAAAATTTTAACTGTATCTGCATCTTTGTAGTTAAAGAAAGATTGGAAATACATCAAAACCATTAGACAATTAATTATAAAAGCAAATAGATATGTTTTTCATACTGTACTTTAAATTCCCTATGTAAATTATATTTTCGAATCCATTTTTATTATCGCTCTTTTAACTCCTTTTGTTGGTCGTTGTAGCTACTAATAATTGAAATGACTTACGTTTGGGGTGTCATCGAATCCATATTAGTCATCAACCAAGCTTCATAAGCATCTCCAAGATTCCTTCCGCTTATTTCAGTGATTAATGGTGTTATAGTTAGTCCCGGGCAAATGCTGAGCAGTCTAACCTTAGTTCTTTCGTAGTGGTGAGGGTCGCCCCATGCTCTGGTCATTGCAATCACGGCAGCCTTGGTCCCGCTATATATAGGGACACATGGGGTTACATTAACACCGAGAATAGAAGAAATGTTTACTATGACAGACTCAGGACCTTGTTTATATTTTGGTAAATAGTTTTCCAGACCCAAGAGTATTCCATTTATCATGCCATTCTACACAAAAGAAAATAAATGACAAATTAACATTATAATGTTACACGAAATTTGTATCAATAATACATATAAAATTAAAATTTAAGCAAATTGCTATGTTCAAAAATCTGTAATTTGTTTTTTGCGCTTATTTATTTGTAATATTTATTAGCATTAGCAAAAAAAAGTTTAAGATTACGAAGTATCATCAAGACTAGTTGAATGAAATTTAAATTTTATTAAAAGGTATTAAAAGATACGAAATGCAAATTCATTTCTGATAGTATTTGTAATGCTCTTAACAACAATAAAGCTGCTTGGAGTATAATAAATTCTGAACGACCTACTAGAAAAAAAAAACAGGTTAGTAATGACATATCTCCGGATGATTATAACAAATTCTTTACAGCTGTATCTGACAATATAATCAAAACTATTGATGTTGATATGTATCTTACAAAGATTCCTAAGTAAATTTCTTCGTTTTTCATGTCTCCTATCATTGAATCAGATGTGCGGCGACAAGTCATCTTGACACTTAAAAATTCAGCGTGCTTTGATTACCATGACTCTAACAGCCGTATGATAAAGGAATCCGTTGTGATCCTTGTTGAATCTCTAGCCTTGCTGTGTAATAGAATTTTGGAGAGGGATAATTACCCGATTCCTTAGCCCGTAGCCATTGTGCCATATTTCAGTAAAATATAGGACATAATTTTAAGAGATTCTGACACCATCTCAGTTTGGCTTTAGGAGGAATTCTTCTTCTATGGCAGCATTGTTATCTGTAGTGGAGGATGTAATGCACGGCCTTAACCATGATCTTGCAACATATGCCACTTTTTGTGGCTTGACAGGCCTTTGACTGCGTTAATATATATTCTTTTGGGTAAGCATTACGGAATATTTGACGAATAGGCGACAATCCGTTAGCATAAGCAACTGTGACTCCGAAATACTGCCTGTTGTTAATGGTGTGCCCCAAGGATCGGTTTTGGGCCCCTTGCTTTTCTTAATATTCGTAAATAACTTGACAATTAACGTGCATGACTGTAAGTGTATTATGTTTGCCAATGACACGACACTGTTGACACGGGGCAGTCTTGATAGGAGTAGAGAGTGTCTAACGGAGGTTAAATTTTGGTTTTCTGCTAACAAACTTAATTTGAATGTTATTAAAACTCAGCATCTATGCTTTACATCAGATAGATTAGTTAATAGATCTAATACTGTGAAGTCATTAGGTATTACGTTAGATACCGGCCTATCATGGTCACCTCATGTGGATTCTCTTTGTACCAAATTTGCTACGCAAATCTTTGTTGTAAGGCAGCTGCGGTCTTCACTGAATAATAACGTGATGAGAACTCTTTACTTTCACTGGTTCATAGCCACCTTTCCTATGGTGTGCTGCTATGGGACAATTCAGTTAGAGCGAGGAAAGCATTTATTCGACAAAAGGCGGCGGTTCGCCTTCTGGCTGCAGCGTATTGCCGTTCATCATCTACTATTTATTTATTGTAAAAACTAAATGAGAAATTCTTATAGTACTGCATACTTACAACATTTATTGCAATTTCCCTCTCCCATATCTTATCGTTCAAAATTCCTGCGTTATTTATTAAAATGTCAACATGTTTGAATATTTCCACTGTTTTCTTAAAAGCATCTGAAAAATCGAACAATAATGGCTATTTATTTTGAACATTTTAAAATTACTCTCACTCTCAAATTGTTGAATATCAGTCACGTCTGTTTTTACAAAAACTGCCCTGTTGCTACCAAATTCCTGTTCTATTTCCGCCAAAGCGGTTTTGGCGAAGTCGGGATTTAGATCGGCCAATGTTACCCCCTGAAAATATTTAAACAAAATAATAAAAGGACCAAACATTGTATGAAAATTAAGATGTTTACATTTCTATTAATCACTAAATATACTCGCCACCGAAAACGACAAAAGTTGACTTCACGTCCAATTGTACCTACTGCAAGCTATATCTCCAGACCAGGGGACGGGTACATGAATATATGGTCTCATAACCAGACAGAATACAAGCTACAGTCTGGGGAGGTTTTCCACTGTATTTCAAGCAGAAATGTCACGATAAAGGCCTGTTTAACAGAGAATGTACTTATATACAAATTCTCTGATAGTCAAGCAACAATTAAGGCTTTAGACACACACAAGGTAAGTTCAGAACTTGTGTAGAAATATTTACAAATGCTAATTGAACTGGCTACCACTAATACAGTTAGATTGTGTTTGGTGACAGGACATAAAGGCATTGACGGAAATGAGATAGCGGATGAACTTGCTAGGAAGGGATCCCAAACAGATTTTATTGATACGGAGCCCTTCACTGGCACATCTCCCAGTGTGGTCAGGGGGCAAATGGACTGAATATATTTGAATAGTGAGATACAAAATAGGCCTGATAAGGCCGCAGTGTTGTGGGACTTGAATGAAACCATAGGAAGAAAAAAAGAAGAAGAAGAAGACACGATATCAAACTCTAGCTGTGGTACCGTAGAGCAATTTTAGCCTTTCATGTATGGCTTGATACGATCAAAAACGAAATAAAAAATATTCACCCCCGATGCTGGTAATTTTAGTTATTTTAATGGGCCTTGTTTATTTCTAGAGCTCAGACAGTGGTTTCAGAAAATGCTGGAGATCGACGATGTCGCTATACAGTCTGTTACAAATTCGCTTCTCACTACAGGAATCTCGGAAACGGTAAGAAATACGAAGTAGTTTAAATGGGGGCAAAGTTGCATAATCAGGGGATTAACATACTGCCTCTAAAAAATCAAGGCTAACATGATTAGTTTTCGAAATATTTGAAAAAAAAAACGAAATTTTGGAAATTCGTTTTTATTTCATTTCAGTCTTGTTTGGGATGATATTGGAAAAAGAAGAACACCTTCTCATAGTAACTTTTTGCCCTCTATCGTATAGCATAATCAATTTTTATATGTAAAGTTTTATCTCTCCAGGACCATCATCAACTTATTTTTTTAAATACGACCTTGGAAATTTTATTACATTTTGCTTCAAGTCTTCATGACCCCCTGTACTGCCTCAACCCGAACCAGATTCAGACGTTTTGTCTCGAAAAATTCATCTTCAATGTATTTGTTCCAAAATCTAAATTTTTTATTTAGATTTCTATGTTTATTGAATTATCGTACACTCTAAGTATCGTTAGACCCTGTGAAATCCACCTAGTTATTTAAACTATTACCATCACCCGTTACAGTAAAACATTATTAATCCCGTGCCCATAGTTATTTGTAGGGTTCTGGAGTGCTTAAAATTCAAACAAATCGATCTAATTTTTTTCAGGATATTCCTACAAATACATCTGACATGCTTTTTCACAGTTGCGGTTACGGGTATAATAAATTCCGATCAATAGATAATAGATTCAACATTTGTCAAAACGGAAACGTTTTTGAACATTTACTGTAAATTTTTAAAGTATAATATTCATTTGGAGTTTTGGTTGTTCATTTGCGTTTTTAAGAATTAATTTGTCATAATGAATTTAAAACTGTAATAATGTTTTAATTTGATGCAACCACTTATCGAATTAGGTAATGGAGATCAAAACTCTAATAATGTTTTATTGTAAGGTGTGAATAGTTTAAATAATTAGGTGAATTTCACAGGGTCACAGGGACACTTAAAGTGTACGATAATTCAATAAACAGAAATCTAAATAAAAAATTTGAGATATTTGGAACTCATTAATTGAAGATGAATTTTTCGGGACAAAAAGTCTCAATCTGGTTCGGGCTGAGGCAGTACATTATTGCAGGCCATGAAGGTTTGCAAAAATGTAATAAAATTTCCAGAGTTTATGCCACTCGATAGAGGGCAAAAAGTTGTCATGAGAAAGTGTTCTTCTTTTTTCAGTATCACCTCAAACAAGGCTGAAATGAAACAAACACGATTTCCAAAATCTCGGTTTTTTCAAATATTTCGAAAACTAATCATGTTTGCCTTGATTATTTAGAGGGATAATGCTGGTCCCTTGATTATGCAACTTTACCCCCCATTTAAGCTACTTCGTATCATTTACCGTTTCCCAGATCCCTGTAGTGAGAAGTAAATTTGTAACAGCCTGTATATACATTTTCGTTCTCAACTGGAAATTACCATTTTCTAAAAAACTTGCGTAGATCATTTGACCAGATATATGATTAACGCCCTGGAAATTTAAATGGTATTCTTTTTTGTTAATTCTTTTAAATTTAATTTTGGTTCTTTGGGCAATCAGGAGCCTAACCGAGCCTTCTCCCTGGCTACGCTCTTGATTAATATAACTTCAATAAAATGTGATCAACATAAACATGTAGAATATATTTTACTCTATAAAAAAGTAACTCAAAATATACTGTGTTTACTTTTTTGTAGATACAAGATTTTTAGCATCACTTTTTTAACAAAATTATGAAATAAAATAATAACATTGTCTCAGTAACGCTCGTTTGTCTGACTGTTGAATTAAAATGAAATTTCATGTAAACATACTCACTTTCACACCGTTGCGAAGAAATTCCTTTGCATACCGCAACCCTATCCCAGAAGCACCACCGGTAATCAAAGCTATTTTTCCAACCAAATCGAGAACCATTTTTCTAGTAGTTGTCTTGACTCTGTCAAATATTAAACTGATGGAACCAGGTCAATTAATATCCTTTCGTTCAAATGAGATTGCTATTTTCATGTCTGTTAGTGATAATTTATATTCTTGAACTAGTTCAGTTTAAATGATTGTATGTGTACGACTGTACATTAAGGTAGCCCAAAAGAAAACGAATATTTTTTTTTCGTGTCTCTTGTGAAAATACAAGTTAGTTTATCATGTTTTAAGAGCCCTCTCAAAAAATCAGCTAAAAAAAATTTTTTTAGAGAGCGTTCAAGATTTTTAAAAATTTCCAAAATCGTCAAAAATTGGTTTTTTTCTCGTTATTTTATCATTTTCTAGGTTGAAAAAAATCTAGATTATGAAAATTTCAAATCGATATTTTAATTTCTGAAGGTCACTCATAATTATTTTAACTTACAAAGTAGGTAGTGCACCTAAAATGTTTTCAAGCGACCTATAAATAAATATCAACGAACTTTTTTTTTATTGAATTTGATGAACAAAAAAATATAAATAAATCATCACTTCAATTTAAAAAAATTTAAAAATTATAAATATTTGATACTCACAGTGCGGTAGTAAATTTTGCCTCAAGAAATTTTTTAAGTGTCTCGTGATTTATTTCTATCCTTTAGTTCATCAAATTCAATAAAAAAAATTATTAGTTCGTTGATATTTATTTTTAGAGGTCGCTCGAAAACATTTTAGGTGCACTATGAAAGTTAAAATAATTATGAGTGACCTTTAGAAATTAAAATATCGATTTGAAATTTTCAAAATCGAGATTTTTTTTCAACCTAGAAAATGATAAAATAGCGAGAATTTTGGAAATTTTTAAAAATTTTGTGCGACCTCTAAAAAATTTTTTTCAGCTTATTTTTTGAGGGGGCTCTTAAAACATGATAAACTAACATATTTTTACAAGAGACACGAAAAAAAAATATTAATTTTTTTTTTGGGCCACCGTAGTGTACATGTTACAACTGCTGTTGACATAAGGATGTTTGAAATTCAATGATATTGGTGTTGTAGATAAGCCAAATTATATAACTTGATATAGTGATATGAAAAATTACTAAAAGTATACAAAGATGTTTATAAAAATATATTATTATGTTCCGTTGTACTCAAAATAGCAAGAATAAAAATATGTCTTTATACAGAGGGGTTGATATTTAACGTCGAATTCTAAAATATGCATTAGTATGTTTGGAAATGAATAGGGTTTTTTATAAGAATATTACTCCAAATAACTTCAAATTACGTATTGACAAAATTTAAAAAATCTGGTATTTTTCGTATTTTCCATACTAAGGGAAATTTTTAAATAAACTCTCGTTTTTCCATGACAAATATAATTTTCAAAAAGCGATAAATAACAAATTAATTCGACGAAACTTGGCTCGTAATACTAATTTGTAATAACAAACATACAATCATTTCAAGAGACATATTTTAAATATAGGCTTCATGGCGAAATGCAAGTTAGTTTTAAACAAATTAGAGCTGTTGTAATTGTATAATTATGTCACGCGTACGTAGAGATAAAAAAGAGTAAACATTCATACTATACTAAAACAAAAAAAAAACAAATTTATCGTTAAGTAGTAGCTTTTAACAAATAGAAACTCTATTCAGGTAGAAAAAAACACAGATATTTTTTTAAATAGAAAATAATATTACGAAACGAAATTAAAATAATGAGTTCATATTTAAGCTACTCCCTTCTTTTAAAGTTTTGTTTTTGTATTTTTCTTATAAAATGCATAAAAACGCAGTATTAAATTATGTACTTAGGTCAGCACTACGATATTAACTACTAAAATGAACGTTTAGTAATTAAACAATTGCAAAAAAACGAACCAAATTAATTAACAAATACCTAGAGCGACAATTTCACGGTCAATCGAATCTGCCTTTGGCACACATGTTGGTCTTTGAATTGACTTTCTTTTCCATAAATTTCATTGACATCCATCGCCTTCTGCAATAACAATGCGCAATTTTCGAAAACTGATTTCTTCGCTTTCGACCTCTATTTAAGAGGTAATTTAATTGCCTACAACATAAAATAACTAATTTCCCGATAGGTCGTCTGGATTTTCATGGGCAGTAAAAAAAAGTGAAAAAATGTTGCCACTTATTTTCAATTTGCCAACTTAACATCACTTATTTCGAGTTACTTTTTTGATTTTATCATTCTGCATACCCTTCCCCGTTATAAAATAGCTCAAACTCTAATTCGACTGGAGTATTATCCCAACATTATATTCTGAAGGTCATTTCTTAGCGTCTTCTAAAAGAAATTTTCTGTTTAAAAAGAGTCCTCGAGAGACCCGAAGTACCCACATCCAAAGCTTACAATTAGACAGAGATGAGGTTTTTTTAACGTCTAGACAGCAAGTAACCAATATTGTCATAAATCTAACACAGAACATTTCTTTCAGGAACCTGTGAAGGCATAACATCCGTCTTCCGGATCCAAGCAGACTCGTGTGGAAGACTCTGGGTCCTCGATTCAGGTCTCATACACGTTACGGTGGATCCCAAACAAATATGTCATCCCCAACTACTCATCTTCGACTTAGAGACCGACGACTTGCTTACTAAATACGTCCTGCCAGCCGAGTTCATAAAGGAAGATGGACTTTACTCCAACATCCTAGTAGATATCAGGGATAACGACTGTGTTAATGTGCACGCGTACCTCGCGGACGTCTGGAGGTTTGGGTTGGTGGTTTTTAGCTTGGAGAAGATGAGAGCGTGGCGCATTACGGATCATTTGTTCTTTCCGGATCCGCTAGCTGCTAGATACAAGGTAAATGTAGTTTCGTTCCTTTATCTTCTTTCGAGATGAGTAGGCAATCGCAAGGATAAACGTAACAAAAGTTCAACGATTTGAGATGTATACAGGAGGATTGACTTTTTATTAGTGATGTAAAATAGCATGCTATTTAGTTTTGGGTGATAAATATCAAAATATATATCATTATATATATCAGATGAATTTTGTTAAAAAAAAAATATACTCAAATTAGTTTTTTTATATTGCTAATGCCTTGCTGATTAATTTGACACCAAATACATGTCATATATATGAACTTTAAGAAAAGTTATCAAGTGATCTTTATTTTTTTTCATATTTAGATTGGAATTTTTTTTTTTTTTTTTATCATATTTACATTAAGACACTTTATAGTAAAAGTAATAATCTATTTGAAATAGGTTGTTGTTTTAATTAATAAATTCATTATAATTATGATGGTAATGACTTCTAATTTTTGTTGCGTACTTAATATGATACAATGCCTGTTTATAAGCAAGTACGCTGTTTATTAGCAATTTAGTTTTATCAACCCACAAATAAAAAATGGGAAATTTCTAGAACAAGAAAATTTAGTCTTTGTATATCACAATAGGTACTTAAAAAAAATTAAAGATAGAAATTGAAATAAAAATTATCAAAAACTTATGATAATAAAGAAACTGCTTTAAAGTAGTACTTAAAAATCTGAAATTTTAGGGGTGTACTATAGACGGGGAGACCTAAGAGCGCACGTAATTTCAAGTCACCCCTTCCACCCTAGGGGGTGAGGAGGGAGTGAGGGGTGTTTTTTTTAGATGTACCCTATTCATTTTGCGATTTTCGGATTCTACGCGTAAAACTACCCCCGGAAACGCGTTCTTGCGGGTACGTTTAAAAGACCACCCCTCACCCCCTCTGCACCTACTAGGGTGGAAAGGGTGAGTTGAAATCACGTTCGCTCTTAGGTCTCCCCACTTATAGTACACCCCTAAAATTTCAGATTTCTATATTTATTTTTGACGGAGATGTGCCCAAGAACGATGGTCATCGAAAAAACGACAAAGTCCATATGAGGGTGGTGGTTTGGTTTTTGTGCGAATACGGCAAGAACGCGCTTTCGGGGCTAGTTTTACGCGTAGAATCCGAAACTCGCAAAATGAATAGGATACATCTAAAAAAACACCCCTCACCCCCTCCTCACCCCCTAGGGTGGAAGGGGTGACTTGGAATTACGTTCTTCCCATCTATAGTACACCCCTAAAATTTCAGATTTTTATATTAATTTTTGACGGAGATATGCCAGATACCGAAGAGCTACTACAGTCCAACCCAAGCCTACCACACAAGTTTTTAGTTTTAAAATGTAAGGTAAAGTTTGAAATTTGGCTTCATTGATGAAATGGCGGGAAAATTGATGTATATCAACTATTAACATATATATAATAGCTGAAATATATCAAAAATTGATATATATCAATTTGTTATATATTTTCACTCACATCACTACAGTTTTTATGATTAGGACTTTAACCATCGATAGATATAGAATATGGAAAATTTTCAAAAATTACCCTGAGATTTACCCTGCTGGTTTTAAATTAAAACCACGTTTACTTTTCCATCTTAGATTTGTGTGGTTCACAGAAAGTAGCTTCAAATCAGAAAAATCCATAAGAAATAAGTGGTTCGGTGATTTATTTTGTTCATTAGGACACAATAACTTGAATATAAAAAATATAAGTGAGGTATTTAGGTATAATTAAAAACGCATAATTTTATTGTATAAAATATGATTTTGTTAGGTTATTTTGTAAATTTTTAGCACCGCCATTATCTCGAAAACGGTTAAAGATAGGTATAGGTTATGTTACATAAAAAATGATCAGAATTCCATGGAGAATTGAATAAAAATACAAAAAAGTGGGGTTCCATTTAAAAAAGTTGGCCTTAATTTCATAACTTTTTTTGGGCCACCCTGTATACATGAAAATGCTTCAGAAAATGCGCAACTAAAAATATAATTCGTTATTAAATTGCTATTTATGTTAGTTTCTCAATAATAAAGATTTTATTCTGTACCACTTTGTTTGAAAAACTTAACCATTTCGCAAGTAATGAAATAAGACAAATGATAGTCCAGTGAGGTACATATTACATTTACATTTCTTTACAAAAATAGAACTTTAATGTGCAAAATATGTTTCTTTTTTCTATTGAACATTTTTACTTACTAATCATACTCTAAGATATTTTTAGTTTTTATCCCATTCTATGTTTAAAAAGTATTTTTTGATTAAAGAAAGTTTTCCTTTCAAAAATATAGGTTCTTTTTTAATCCATTTCCATTCCAAAATATTGAAAATAGTGTTAATAAAATACCAAAAGTTTCAGTGTTTTATTATTATTATTTAAGACAAAATTTTTTACGCAGCTTACAAAGTTCAAGTGCATTTAGTGTAATAATATTTATTTTATCTTCATTTGCTGTTTCTAGCTCTTCAAGTGTGTGGAGAGCATTTTAATTTTGATATAGCCAAACAGATAAAAATCTAAAGGTGTTATTAATACATGCAAATACCCATGCAGCAGTTCATCGTCATGCATTAATTCCAGGGCTTGTTATAAAATGTTACGGTATCGTTCTCCGTTTATTACTTCTCGGAAAAAAATTGAGCCTATTTTCCGTTTTCTTGAAACTACTGCCTAGATGCCTATCGTCTGAGAATGTAATGATATTTCAATAAAATTATTAGGATTCTGCAGCCTAAGTTCTATAATCGTAACTGTTTACATAACCAGATAAATATACTCATGGCTCGTCGGAATAAGCTCTTAAATGTTCAACATACATATTAATTAGAACACCTACATCGGCATTACAGAGGACAAATTCCATAAAAATTGTGGAATGGAAGAAATGATCTCAGTAAACTGAACATATTTGATTGTCATGCACGGTCATGCAACAAAGCGTAACAAGATTGATCCAAATCGATAAAAGCGGTTATGATAGGATATTGTGGTGGAGGTTATAGACAATGGTTACCAAATGAAGGACAAATTATAAGAAGCCGTCGCGCGTCGTACAATTCGATGAGAGCGTTATGGAATACAAAGTGAGCAAAGAAAGTAGCCAAGTAGTTGAGGTGGAAAATGGCCAAGAAATGACAGAAGAAGAAGACCAAAGCTTGAGTGAAGATGAAAATAATATGCCAATGGTTGACACTATAACTAGATCAGACAGAAATATAAAAATACCAAAAAGCTAGATGATTATGGAATATATTCAGCTTATTGTTTATTCTCAGAAGAAGAAAACAAAACCAAAAACATATGCAGAAGCAAGTAAACATAAAGAATGGCGACAAGCGACACGTGAAGAATTAAATTCACATGAGAAATTACAAACATGGACTCCAGTAGAGTTACTTAAAGGACAAAAATTATATTTCACACCCAGTCCTCGATATCACTATGTTCTGTAGTCCGCCTCTGTCGTGCTACCGCGCACTGCTTTAAAGACAATCACTCCCTCTACCCCGTGACCCACTCCAGACCCTCTAGTAGCCTAATCATTCGCCTCGTTGTGCTCACAGCGTGTACATGTGCTCTGCTAGCGTGTCTTCCGTAACAAAATTTCGTAAGTATACATAATCCCCTTTTGTTTGTTTTAGCAACATAATAAATATTCTAGCTAGCTATGGGTAGAAATAAAAGGCGTCGTTCATCCACGAGCGAATCGGAGGAAGAAATGGGAAACAAACAAATGTTGAAGAAAATACGTAAACTGGAAAAAAAGCTGCATAAGGCATTACGACAAAAACGAGCTCGATCTAGAACTCGAAGCCGTTCGCGTGTCTCGAGCAGGCACGGAAGGTTAAGTCGTTCCCCATCTAGGGCTACGGTTGATAGTCGGTCTCTGCGCGAGCCGGGATCAAACCGCTCTAGCCCAAGCATCGGCCGTTCCCCGCGCGGGTCGGAGATTGCTGTACGAAATGATGCGTCTCCAAGTGGGACTCCTGTACATCCTCAAGCAGATGTTAATGGTAACGACGACGACTGTCTTGTACTGCACAACGAGGAAAATTTGCCCGATGAAGTATTGAATATTTTAGGTTCAAATCCAGGTAAGGATTCGTCAAACGATTATACATTGCACGAGGCACTTACAAAAAGATGGAGCTATGTACTGCAGCAGGGGCTACCACAAAACGACCTCGAAACAATAAAATGTAGGGCATTGTACCCGTCTAATTTAAATCTTAAAGCTCCGTCGATTAATCCGGAGATTTTAACAATTGTGCCTAAACCAAGTCAAACTAGAGATGAATCTCATGCTAATTATCAAAATCAGGTAGGATTGGCCATGGCAGAGATAGGTAGGGGTTTAACGATCATTTTAGATGATAATAACACTACCACTATCAAACAAGACTTATTGCAGCACTTATCTGACGCCGGCCGTATTCTAGCTCAGTTATTTTACGATATCTCAAAAACGAGAAGGGCACTTATTAATCCCCTTCTAAGCAAAAATATAAAAGAATTGGCGCAAACTACCTCTCCGTCTGGAGGTTTACTTTTTGGACCAGATTTATCTGAACTAATAAAAACTGCCAAGCAATTAGAAGTTGCAGGCAAAGAACTGAAGGCTGCACAACTTCCGGTAAAGCAGGGGGTGTTAAAAAACTTCTATTTTAAAAAAGGAGGAGGGCGCACACAGCAAGCAGTAACATCTCAGCCGTTAAACCGCTATCGCCCGCCGGCTCGTCGTCCAGGGGACGTGAGGGAGACGAGACCAGCGAGAGGGCCAAATTCCTCCAGACAGGGCCGGACTCGCTCCAAGCGGGCATATTAAACACGGTAAGTAATAAACCTTTTGCGGGGCGACTTAAGCACTTTCACACTGCATGGAGTGAAATAACCTCGAATCCAGTAATATTAGGGTGGATAAATGGATACAGGTTACCTCTTAGGGTAGTACCCTGTCAGAAAATTCCCCTTATCTCACA